CTTCTTGTTGTTGTGGTGCTGCCATTGGGGTGGTTGTTGGACGACGCGTCGCGTGTTGAGTTGGGTGGGCCACTAGCTTGTGCGGGCCACTAACTTGTGGATTACGTTAAAGTAAAGGAAAAACTTAAAAATAGTTTAGGTAATTTTAATATAATAGTTACTTTTACTTAAGTATACTTTACTAAAATAGCTTAGCTTTTTAATAGTATTTTACTATTAGCCTTTACTTTTATTAATAATTTATTAAAAGTAAAAATTTTTAAAAAGCACTTTATTTATTTTAACTACTTTAATACTAATTTTAGCTACTTTTAGTACTAATAAACTAGTATTTATACTATAGTTTAAGTATAAAAAAAAAATAAAAAAAAAAATAGAAAATTAAATATAAATTCTTATAAAAAAAGTATAATAATATAGTAACTATAGTCTAGAAATCTAAAACTAAATAGGCCTAGTAAGTAGTAGAAAAGGTAGCTACCTAATTAAAAAAGGCAGCTAAAAAGCGTATTTAATAATCGGAATCTATCTATTATAAACTAAAAGTAAAAAACTAAGCTTTAGCTAAGGAAATTTAGAAGCTAAAAGCTAACTATTAATATATTTATATATAGTTACTAGTTAACTACCTAAAAAACCTTTTTATTCCTTTTTTTTATTAGTTTATACCTAAATATAGTATTTTAGCCTTTTTAATCCTATTTTAGGAACTATTTATAGCTTTTACTACTTTATTTAACCTATTTAGAAAAACTAGAATAGCTTACCTAAATAAGCTAAAATAGTAGTATAATAATTTCTACTCTATAGTATATATTTATTACGATAGCGCTATACGTAAAAGGTTAAGAGCTTAAAAAGAAGCGTTAATTAGGTGCTATATACAATACTACGTGGAGAATTAAAACGTTGTGTAAGGAACAGGAAAACGGGAGACGGGCCACCGGATATAAGGGCGTGGCCGAGCGCGTGGCGTACGGCCTCTATGCCGTTTCGGCGCGTGGCACGCGTGTACGCGAGGTCCTTACCAGATCAGGTGATAGGAAAAGGGGGCAGCCGGTAGGTGGCTGGAGCGGGACAGGATAGGAAGCGGAAGCGAGACGGGAGCGGAGCAGGGCAGGCAGGGCAGGAGGCCGGCCAACGGTAGTAGGCCGGTGCAGATTGCTGGAGTTGTAGCAATCTGCGGCAGAATTTCGGTAGGTAGGGTGTCGCGGTCGATACCGTGACAATATTAAGGGCTTTTCTAAGCTAGAAAAGTTTAAAAAAAACCTACCTATATTATAGCCTTAGATTAATAGTATACTAGCCTACTTTAAAAACTATTTTAAGAACTTTATAGGTGTATTCTAAAAAACTTTAGCTGCTATTATAGCTAGTAAACTAGAAGATAATACCGCAGTACTAGTATACTAAAAAAACCTAGATAAAAATCTCCGTTTCTAAACACTATTTAAGCTATTTTCCTTCCTATACTAGTTTTTTAGAATTAAGAATATTTATTTCTATTATAAGAATATCTATAGAACGCTAGGTTAAGTTAATTCCGGAGTTATAGGGGACGTAACTTTGCTATAAGTGTTTTAAAGGATAGGATAATATGCATCTAGTAGATATTAAACGATAGGGGGAGGCGTTGGTTAGGTAAGCTGGAACCTAAGAGGAGAGAAGAATTAGCAGTGTGTCTGCCTCTGCTAGTGTACATGCTGCACGACAGTAATGCCCTCCTAATGCCGTCTCCCCTCATCCTTATGGCCATGAGCAACGTGCGTTGAGATTAGCTGGAAGCTTACAATTCGGAAAAAATGGGAGGCCGCTCCTTAGCTGGTTCAGCAAAGCGGCATGGGCATTCACATGACGTGGACTTATTTATACGCGAGGTTGCGGTTGGTTCCCTACCTCCACATTTCCTTGCATGATGTATATATCTGATAGGTTGGCGTCACTCCCATCCATTTGGTCCGGTCCAAGATTCCTTCGACTGTTCGCTATGCATAAAATAACGACATGTAGAGATTGACAACACCCTTTTCTTTCCTGGTTCTTTTTTATGTGCTAGACCGTGTCTACAGTGTGCGGCTCTTTCTTGCAGTACCTCAGGAATAGCACACCGGCCGCTGGTTCTCTTGCGAGTGACATCGGGCGTCCCCCTAACCGTCATCACTGGAACTTAGTTACAGCATCATCGCGACTGCGGTCTCCAGCATGGCCCAGACCGATGCCGTAGAGGAAACACATCCGCGTAGCAGCGCCCCAGTAGACGAACCCAACGTTTCCCCAGTCCATGGCATTCCAGGCCCAGAACTTCCAGAAGACGTCAAGACCCAGAGGCACCAAGCCATAAAGGTGGCCCAGGTCGGCAAGCAGCAAGCCCCAGACAAGAGCCCTCCACACACGCCGGTCGCGGGTGCTCCGCAGGACTAAGACCTCGTTCAGCGCGAAGAGGACATAGAGGTTGGCTAGCTGGGAGAGGGCAACCGCAGTTCCCACGGGCACCGGGCTGTCGTTGGCGGGCGCAGAGCGGGCGTGTGTCAGCGCGAGGTACTGGTGTTGCCGGCAGTGGGCGAAGAAGGCGCCTAGCAACGTCGACGCCGGCTCCACATAGAGCAGGAAGACGCGGTACGGCGCAGGGATTGGGGCGGACATGCTGTGGGACGGACGGCTGTGACGCAGCTGAGGACGCAGGTGAGCCGGCGTCGACGAGAGAGGAGGCTCTTACGGCGCGAGCGGTGTGCAGCGGTGGCAAGACGACTCGATGCTGCACCACGGGATGCCGATGGCAGGCCTCCGGGCTTCCCGGCTCGGGTCGGCCCAAGGCCGTTCCAAGGGGCCCAGGGCGACGGCTGCATGTCCGGTGCGAGGCTGCAACGGCCAGGCCTGAGCGAAGCCGATTCCAAGCCTGCAAAGTTTGGGCGGCACGGCACTTGGCCCAAGTCGTGCAAGCGCACCCGCGGGCCATCTCCAGATCATTAAGGTTGGACCAAGTCTTCATCCCCATCGTCCCCCAACCATCTCTCGTTCTCGTCGCCCGTCCCACCCCCTCCCTCGCTCCGCTCTCACTACGGGCTGTTCAATCTTTAAATATCCGCGTATCGCCAATTTTGCCGCCAGTCGTTTCCCGGACCCGGAACCTCACTCTCCTTGCTCTCACCCGTGGACGTGGAGTGCATTGTTCCTTGGTCCTTGTCTTCCGCACTCTGTCGCTGTTCTGTTTCGCCCCCAGCACTACCGTCGATCCACTGTAGCCATCACGCTTGGTCCAGCCGCCTGGTCGCCTCTTGGCTTCGTCGCGACCTGCTGGCACCGACTGCTCCCGCGACCGAGAATGCCCACGCCGCGCTCGAAGTCGTTCCTCTCCCACCGACCGAAAACTTCTTCAGCCGTCAACGACGGGCTCGCGCCTCACCGCGCTGTGCCAGTCCTGAAAAAGACCGCCTCTCAGACCTTCAGTGCCTATACGGATGCGAAGGACGTAGGACCGCAGTTGGAGCGAGTGAGCGAGGACCGAACACTCGTGGACTTCGATAGCGCACACCCGACAGTTCTCTCGAGCGTGAAGCAGATGTACCACCGGCTATCTTCGTCTTCTAAGAAGCGACCCCCGCCTCCAGAACTTGGAGACCTTGCAGGTTCAGCAATGAGTAAAGTTCGTCGGAGCAGCCATGACTCGGAAATGGTCGACGCCTCAGTGGGATGTTGCTTGATGCCCCAATCGCAAACACAGAGCGGCTCCCGATTGACGCGGCGATTTGGAAGTATGCGGAACCGACGGCAAGCTACTTCAGGACCCGCGGGAGAAGCTGCTCGATATAACCCTGAACCCCCACCCATGCCGACAAATTATGCGGGCCCGCCAGTCATCCCCACTGACTCGTCCCGAGGCTCTGCAGCACGCGCTGCAGCAGCGGCTCAGAATGAGCGATTGAGCTTGACGAAACAGGCGCGACGGGATGCCGAAGTGACTGCGAAATTCCTGTCCGATGGGGACATGTACACAGCCGGAGATGACGTTACAAGAGACAATGAAAGCGGTGTCGGTATGACCTGCTCCTCGCCCATTGAAGGACGAGAATATCCGATTGAAACAAGGCACGGTATGTCACAAATACACGCTTCGGATCATCACGATCTAACATCAACAGATCCCATTCAGTACCTGCCTGCTGAGCTCTCCACCATGATACTCTCCAACTTGACCGCTGCAACACTAGCACAAACCGAGGTCCTATCCAAAGCATGGCGAGCCGCTGCCTCATCGAGCTATGCGTGGCGTGCCGTATTCTTGCGTAGGTTTGAGCCGGAAAATCACGTCTCACCAACGCCGATCATGATGGGTGGAGCCGGCGTCGGCAAGAAGAACGGTAGCAGGTTCGACCCTGGCCAGAAGTGGAAACGAATGTACCAAGTTCGTTGTACGCTAGAACGTCGGTGGGCAGCTGGTACTCCAAATGCAATCTATCTAAATGGGCACACCGACTCGGTCTATTGCTGCCAATTCGACGAGTAAGAGCCCCACTTCGCCGTTCTCTTAGACTCAGAGCTAACAATGTTGCTTCCTTTAGGCACAAAATCATAACCGGCTCGCGCGATCGCACCATCCGCGTGTGGAATCTGAAAACCTTTGAATGTCTTAAAGTAATCGGTGGTCCTGCAAATCGGCCATTCGCATCTGACTCGGCTCCTCTGGACATTCACGAAAATACAGTCCTGAATCCTCGATCGGTCAATGGCACTCCCGCGGGCCAAAAGCTCTACAGTGTCCCAACTGATTACCACGAAGCTAGTATCCTGTGTTTACAATTTGACTCCAAGATCATGGTCACTGGATCTTCCGATCACACATGCATTGTGTGGGACATTTCGGGAGATGACTACATTCCTAAATATCGCCTCCGCCGTCACACTGCTGGGGTACTAGATGTTTGTTTGGACGACAAATACATCATTTCTTGCTCCAAAGATGCAACCATCAATGTCTGGGATCGCCAGACAGGTGGTCATGTCAAGGAGCTCACCGGGCACCAGGGTCCTGTCAACGCAGTCCAGCTCCGTGGGAACCTTCTCGTATCTGCTTCGGGTGATGGTATCGCTAAACTCTGGAATCTTGATTCCGGCACTTGCATTAAAGACTTCAAATCCCAAGACCGTGGTCTCGCAGCGGTTGAGTTCTCTGATGATGCAAAGTATGTTCTGGCTGGCGGGAACGATCACGTGGTGTACAAGTTTGACACTACAACTGGCCAGCTTCTGCATACCTCTTCACGACATGGCGGTCTAGTTCGATCACTTTTCCTAGATGCTCACAACAATCGTGTCATTAGCGGTAGCTACGACCAAAGCATCCGGATCAGCCACTACGATTCCGGCGAGACCTTCGGGATCTACAAAGATTGGACCACGAGTTGGATACTTAGTGCCAAGAGCGACTACCGCAGAGTAGTGGCAACGAGCCAGGACGGCAGAGTCGTGATCTTAGATTTCGGCTGGGGAGTGCACGATGTGCACTTGTTAGAAGGAAGATGATCCCTGGAATATCTAGCAAGCTGATTGCTTTGTTTCAACAAGGTTTCGGGCGTTTGAAGCGAATCCAAAGAGTTGAATAATACGGTCTGGACTCTGCATTAGAGGAATCCTTGCGTATTTACCGTTCGCTTCTTCTCCGATTTGTGTATGGCCGTTTTCGCTTTTGTCTTTGCCTCTTTTCTTTGTCATTGTTGTACTAGACGGATTTCACTCATAGAAACGCCTGTCCCAAACTGTCAATATCTAAGGCACATGGCATACATTCATTTTCATACCACTGTCTTGGGGTTACCAATGTCGTCATCATGAAAGACCGGTCCAATTGCTCTAATTGAACTTCCTCGCTTTGGCTCGAGTCTGAATTTTCAAGAGGTTGCAATAAGCCACTGTAATACCACTGTAACTACGACGATTGCACATGTGCCACTTGTGCCTCATACCCCCTTTCCTAGTCTCCTGCGGCGAGGAATGCTCCTCCCTTCAGAACGTCGTTGAACCGTGGTAAATATTGGAATCTGTAAATAGCTGTAAATAGCTGTAATTAGACTTTCGGACCGACAACACAGAAAAGGTGCGTATTCAGCATGGCATGGTAGTGATGACTGATGTACGCCACTATCCCTCAAATGGGACGGCCCTTAGTCTTCTCTCATTCGTTTCAGTGGAAATAGCGTGACGTGCATGTTTGATACTTGTGTTCAGCTGGAAATGCATTTTGCGTAGTACGTTTTCCACACAGGAATCCTCACTTAGTTTGCCCTTCTAGGACGTCCTTGATGCTTATCATGCCGCTGCCCCTTGGCAGAGGCTTCGACTGGTTGGGGCCCTCTTTCCATCCTATCATGTATATCAACCGAAATGTGGCAGGGATGCTGCCATCATCGTTGCCGTGTAACTCTCTATATATGCCTTCTGCAGCGAGCATGGCATCTCTCTGCATGGCGCCCATCTCGCGGCCTAGCACAGCATTTGACTCACCCATGGCCTGAAGATCTCGCATCAATGCAAAGCTGTTTGGAAAGTCAACGACAATGTCATCCACATCCACGGTAAGCAAATGGAACCCAGCCCGCTGCAAAAGTCCTCCGACGTCACGTACGTCGGCGAGGGGAGAAGTGTGCATCGAGACGCCGCCACGACGCTCCAATTCAGCGAGTTGCAGGGAGGTACGCAACTCAAAGAGACTATCACCTCCCAACATGACTCCAATAAAGGGGCTGTCAGGCTTGAGTACATTGTTCACTTGAGCCAGCACGGACGGCAAATCGTTGATCCAGTGCAGACTCAAGCTGCTCAGGACGGCATCGAACGTATTGGCCTCGTATGGCAACATCTCAGAGGTAGGAAGAACCTGGCGCACAATCTCCATGGCTTGATTGAAAGGCAGGTCTGCATCGCGGTATAACATCGCTTGGGATGATTCGGCGGCGACGAGAGTGGATAGACGTTCAGCGCGGGTCGTGGAGCTGGGCGAGTCTGGAGACGGACGAGTAAGCATGCGGGCGATGTTGCACGCGTTTGCACCCAAGTCCAGCACCTTTGGAAAATGGCGATTGACGTCCTGACTGCGATGAGCGTCCGAAGTAACCACATAGCGGGAAGAAATACCAGCAATCTCTCGCATAGTCTCGACGCAACCTCATCCCGCAAGTAGTCTACGTCTCTGCTGGCCTGTACGTCGGCAGCGGCGCGCTCTTTCTGTAGCCATTTCGTCTGGCTGCTGAAGATGTCTAGTGTGGGAGCTCCCGGGGCCTGGATAGCGTATCCTCTGGAGAATCGGAGGGCTATGACGCGATGTGAACGAGTGCGGGTAAGAGTGTGGAGCGAGGCAGCCGGCAGCAAGACGGGGGAGAGCATGGCGGAGATAGGGAGGAGAAGGAGGTGAAGGCCAGTAGGGAACCGCTCAGGGATTGACGCTGTTCATGGTCAATTGGCGCTTCAACGACACTTCGTAAGTTGAGCGGAGGTCCGCATTTTGACGTGTGAGGCACGTGACCTATACCAAGCTAAGATTTTGGGACTCAACTTCTTAAGCACTGACTCTCGATTACCACCACCCCACAGGAGCCGCCTTTCTTTTCTAGGCGCAGCGCCCATGGCCCACCCGTTCCCTTATACGCACTACTCGTGCGATTGCTACGATTCGGCTGCCGCTGCGCCCACGGCCAAGCGCGCATCCCACCCTCCGCCGACGGACGACGAGGACGAGCGCACCTTTGACCCTCGCAATCCACGGTCTAACTACGCCTTGTACCCGCTCGAGCACCTGCTGTACTGCGAAGACTGCCGCCAGATCCGCTGCCCGCGATGTGTGCTCGAGGAAACGCTGAATTGGTTCTGCCCAAGCTGTCTCTTCGAGGTTCCTAGCAGTATGATCAAAAGCGAGGGCAATCGGTGCACTCGCAATTGCTATAATTGCCCCGTGTGTACCTCATCAATGACTGTCAGCTCCCTCGAGCCTCCCAAGCATCCTTCGACCGACGATGCGGGTGGTCTCGCCGGCCCCTTCTTCCTATCCTGCCCTTACTGCCATTGGAGTACGCTCGATATCGGCGTAGAGTTCGAGAAACATACAGGCATCACACAGCAGCTGGCGAGGATAAAGAACGGTGGTCAGGTTGTCCCAAGCCTCAAAGAGCGCGAGAAGGCGCGGGAAAAGCGGCGTGAAGCTCGGGATGGACTCGCGCCTGCTCGCGAGGATATCTCCGTGGAAACCTCAGACGCTGCCGATCCAACCTCACACGAGGAAGTGTTCTACAATCTCTCAAGCTTCTATAAGTCCCAACTCTCGCTCGGCGCATCCTCTCAGCCCTTCTCACCACACCACGACATTAACTTCAGCTCGCCGTCGTCTTTCTCCAGGATCATGAACCTCTACTCCTCCGCATCGTCCAAGAAGCAGAAACGTGACAAACCGCCGCCAATGCGAGAGGCCAGCTCCGTCGCCGAGGGTCTGACGATTCACAGCTCCTCATCTGACCATGCGGCCATACAAGCCCTGAAACTTCACGGCTGGGATCATACGCTTACTTACTCTCAGAAAAATAACCAGCTAGACCAGTCTATCCGCTTTGCTAGTGAGCTTCGTCCCTCTCCAACACTGCTCTGCACGAAGCGCGGGAAGCGTTGTCGTGCCTGTCGGCACATCTTGTCAAAGCCTGAGCCAAAGATCACTAGCACACGATACAAGATCAAGCTCTTGGCGTCGAACCATATACCTCGTCTATCAATTCGTGCGCTTTCTGCCTCATTGCCTTTACCCACCGTTCCAAGTTCCGCTGCTCAGGGCTTTGACTACAGCCACTTACAGCCAGCCACGACAATACACTTTTTGCTCACGGTCTCAAATCCTTTATTCGAGCCAGTTCGTATTACGCTTGCCACTCCGTCTACTATCATGGGCAAGGTAAAGAGTAAAGTCACCATACTTTGCCCCCAGTTCGACGTAGGCGCAAACACGGATGTTTGGGATGAAGCTTTGAGCTCTGCTCCTGCTAGACGTGGTGGGCCATCCGACTCTTCGAGCGGAGTTGCAAACTCGACCCAAGTAGAGGCTGGAAAGATATGGGAGCGTGGCCGCAACTGGACCTCTATCATCTTGGAAGTCGTTCCCGGGATCTTCGAACAGCATCGCGGTCCGACATTCGGAGGAGGTCAAAGGAGTCAGGACGATGACGACCTGGCTGAGGATGAGGATGTTCTAGAAATACCAATCTTCGTAAGGATTGAATACGAAAGTGATGTGGCAGTCGAGGATCGTGCTCCTGGCACAGAGCACACTCGACTGGGGGGCAAGGAGAAGAGAGAGGAGGCGTTCTGGAGTGTACTTGGGGTCGGGAGAATCAAAAGCTTGCCATAGTCACAGAAGCAATGTTCGCCATCCAGAAATAGACACAGACTTGTAAAATACTATAATATATCCAAAGGGAGAGACTATCTATGCCAGAGCTCACAGTCTTCTATCGCAAAGATAGAGATGGTTTTGCGAGTAAAAGTATTAAAGTTACAGTGCGAGTAGAAGAAGCCAGACAGCAAAAGTAAAGAGGCACAGTATTTATACAACTACTTTTATACCGTATACACCTCTTTTATACTTTTAATACCTAATATCTTAAATAAATAGATTAGCTATATCGAAATATTATAAGTTATAAGTATAGTACTAGAATAAGTCGTGTATAAATATTATAGTATACTTAAGAAATATAAAAAACGGTTTTTTTAAAACGTAAAGCAGATATATAAATATAATAGAATAGTTTTATAACTTTAGTAATATATTCCTAAATATACCTATACTTTTTATATTATATTAAGCCTAAAAATATCTAAAAAAAGGAACTTATTAGTATTTATAAGTAATATTACTTTATAAGCGTATAAGTAGCTAGTATTTAAAAAGTAAGGTTAATTTTTAATTACTTATATTTTTTTATAAAACTATTAGTAAAGCTAGCTAGCTACCCGGGCTTATAAAACTATACTTTATAATAAGTATATTAGTTCTAAAAAGTATAATATAAGCCTAAAAGTATGCTTAGCTAGTTAAAAATATAATAAAATAAAATATAATATTTTAGCTACCTAATTAAGCCGGCTACTTAGTTAAGCTAGCTACTAGCTAGCTAGCGTATTAGTAGCGTATAAAAGGGGTTTTAAAGTAAATACTAGTAGATTTCCTATATAAATATATTAAAACTTATTACTAGCTTTTTCTAGGCTAACTTTATAAATATTCCTTTACTTTAAAAAGTAGCAGCTTTTTCCTTTATATTTATTTCTTTTCTTTTTTTATTTTTTTTTTATCTACCTAAAAGTATTTTTTATAGTAAGCACCTAAGCTTTACTAAAATACTTTTTTATATACTACTTTTTTTTTTCTTTTACTTTTAAATAAAAATTTTATTTAGGATTTAAAATATAGACCTATTAGCTATAGCTATTAAAAATAGGTTTTATAAGCTAATTATAGATTAATAATAACTAGAAAAATAACCTTAAAAAATTTCTACTATAAACTTATTAATATTTTTTAATTAATCCTAATTATTATTATTATTAAATTCTATTATACTAGTATAGCTCCTATTAAGGTTTATATAGCTATTCTATTTAGGCTAGTTTATAAAAAAAAACCGTTTACTACTATATAGTATTCGAATAAAAACCCTGTTTTTTATAATATATAGCGCTAAGCGCTTTTCTTATTATTATATAGCTATTAAAAATATATAGTAGATTTATTAAGTCTACTATAAAATAAGCTATTATAATACGTTTTCCTAAATTTATCCGGGTTTTATAGTTATTTTTCTAGGCGCAGGTCGAGTTAATTCCGGAGTAGTAAGCTGGTTTAGGATTAGTATAAAGGTATATATACTATTATTTCGCATATATACCCTTTATTAAGGCGTTAGTTCTTAAATTAAATAATATATATAGGGGGTAGTACTATATAAACTATAATATATATAAAGGCTATAACGTAATCTATAAGTTAGTAGCCCGCACAAGCTAGTGGCCCACCCAACCACGCTACCGAGGCCAAATATTCCGAATTACTCCAC